CTCCAGTGCTGGAGTTTTCGTTCAGATATTTCCACGATCAAGGCGACCATTGCCAAAACTTTCTCGACTATGCTTGGGTTACATTGCTTCGTGGCACTGCCTTTGTCAAATCTAGTCAGGGTTCGCTTCCTCCGTCTGCATATCGCGACTGATGACGTAGAGAGTAGGCCATCAATGGCCTTTTTAAGTAGGCTTGTCGCTTTTTCGTGTCTTGACTTCTCAGAGTCGTATAATCGGCCAAGCAGGCGACAAATGATTTTTGGCATCTTGAGACCAAACTTTATGTTTGGACATATCTACAAACATATACATAGAGAGACAGAAATATACACATATACGCACACACACACATATATATATGGCTGTCTTGACGAGCAATAATTCGGTAACAAACGTCCTATAGAGACCGTTACTGTACATAGGCGTCATAAAAAGAAATATAACAAAGCGCCACATAGAAAAATGTTTATGTTTTTACTAGCACACTCTAAACGATTAGGATGAATAAACGTCTGTCTCATTACAGGTCATGATGATTGTTAGGTGTACTAATAACTTCCATCAATGTATGGTTTGCTAACAATACGCATTTAAACATTTTATATGGATATTTTTAAATCTATCTTTTCTACGATTTGAAAAGCGAGCTTAGCTATTTGCATTTGTAGTTCGCCTTTCCTTCATTATCAGCGTATAAAATCATGTTGACCTGATACTTGACAAAACTCCCCACTTAGAGCAAAAGCCGATAAAGATATGAATTAATGCCATCATAATTATGTGTATAGGAAACACAATTGGTTTCCTGCTTGTTGAAGAGCATCATCACGCACGATAAGTTTCTCAAATCGGTCTAAGTTGTACAATTCATTCTCTAGATAAAAGCAATCCATAAAGGTGTTTCGTGGAAAATTGACTTCGTTTCAGATCCCATCAGAAGACGCTCTCACAGAGACATCCTCGTATACTCGTCGTTGAGTGAGACGGCGAGGCATAAGAAATCCGACGAAATGTATTTCCGTTACGGCCCTGGCGGCTGCTCGATCCAGGCTATGATAGGATCGTATTTGGGAACCCGTTTTACCCCCTCTAGGACACCCCCCACACAATCCCAATCTCTACTCATTTCCCGGCCTGACCTTTCTAGACTTGTTGTTACAGCTGCAGCAGTAGCAACAGCAGGTTTTCTCTCTGTCGTTGGCCTCAGTTCCCATTCGATACGATTCGTTTCCCACTCGGTTTTGTCCCCACCGAAGGAGTTGTTCACTCACAACACCGAACAGTGACCGAAGAGAAAAGTTAAAAGATGCGAGTCAATATGATGATGGTGATGATAGGGGTGGGGGTGTGTCAACCCTCGGCGACAAGCTTCGATGGGCAAGGTCGGCTCCTTCCGGAAGTAGCACCGGAAGTGGGTAGGAGCAAGTTTTATTCTCCGCCCCGTATCATCTCATTCTCTCGGTCATCGGTCACAGTTAGTCGTCGCGCTTTATTCCAGTCGATCAGCGCCACTTTACTTTCGTTTTCATGCTTGGGGTCGCTTATCAAACGAGTGGAAAATTATAGTAGAGCAAACACACGTAAACGTCATATACATAGCGTAAGTTTCTGTGAACTGGCAGAATGTGAGCGGAAGCGTCTGCTAGTAGAATCGAGTCATATAGGAAATGTTTTCAGCAGGCTAAGCAGTGAGACTTAATAGGACCTAAATCTGCCACATTTTAAACTTGAAATAGTGTTTATCTTCAGATATTTATACATAAAATCTACATCCAATAGAAAAGCTAGAACTACTTCATTGAGTCAGTATTGAATTTGAATCTTGTTGCGTACTGCTCACTGTAATTAAACACGAGCGTCTCGATTAGCGGTGCCTTAGTGAAATATAAACATAGAGGGGTATGGCTATTCCCTTGTATAGTAACACGGATGCTCGGAGAAGCAGATTTTCGCTGCCCAACATATGAGAAATGGCTGGCTTCAGTCTAAATCTGGTTCTGATTTAGCCCGAACCGTTACCGTCGCCGCCCGACCGTGGTCGGTTGTTATTGTGACAACGTCAACAGATAACGATACGATGATAAAACGAAAACCTCGATATCGATGTAGACGCTGCCGAATCTTCAGTCGAACCTTGTCTTGACCGATTCTTACTTAGACAGTAAAAAAACTTTTTTTTTTTTTACCTATAGAAGTTAACTGCTCAGGTTGTACTGGATGGTTAGATGGCTGGGGTAATCGTTTTTCTGTGTATATCGATACGATTAATGTAGCGTGATATTTAGTGTCTGTTTATTGCTTCGTGTTTTACTGACTATGTTATGTTATCATCATTGTTATTAGAATAACGAATGAGGAAAGCTATTGCAACTTATTTTATATTCAGCCGGTCGTGAAGCAAAGCTTATTTTATTGTATAGATATTTGACTTTGTTGATGCTAGATAGTCCCTTTTCTCGTCATTTGACGGGTGCTCCTGACTCGCTTTTTCTGATGTTTTAGTAGTTTTGTCCCCGTGTGATCTGATGGCGGAAAGTATTCATTGAGTCTCCGTCAGATCGCCACCGCCGCTGCCTTCGTCGGCCACTCACTTTGTAGAGCTATGTACTACGACAATGACTGCCGTCAGCGTCACAATCATCAGCGACACTACCACTACCTCTCACTGATTACCGACGCTAATGACGGCGTGCGTTTATCCGATAGAACGATAACTCCGGGCGACCAGCGAGAATTGAGCTGTCCGGTTTGTTAGTTAGGTTAAATATTATGGTTAAGATCAGCGCAGCTGAAGACGATTGAGCCAGCGAAAAGATCTATCTGTAGGAACAGCCAGCGCTGAACGGTTAATTTTGCATGAACTCTTTACGGTGAATTCTCTTGCCGCATCTACTGTCATTAGTATTTTATTGCCGTCTCTCTGCCTGTTAGCCTCAGCCTAAACTCGAAAACGAACGAGAGACGGACAGACATGATTAAAGAAAAACGAAGTAAATCAATACAATCTCCAGTATACTGAACAAGGTGCCTAGAAGTCTTTGGCGGTAGTGCGATGTTGGGGGCACGTAACGATCATAGAGGACTACGCCCATTTCAAAAAAACCGACTACTATCACTCTTGAGTTGGTCGAACTTGCGGACAATGTTAGCAGGGCAGTTGTATCTCGATGTTCCTTCCCATCTGTTCTTAGCGAACGCTGGGCTTAATAGCAAGTGCATCTCTTCTAGACAAGTAACTCTAACGACGATGATAAACGTAGAGACATTTAATATCTAACAACGCGGACGGAACTTGCCCGGCGGGTTTCTGCTTTCCCTGGATCCCTTCGCCGTCGTGTTTTAGCGCATGGCTGAAGTAGGCAGCTACCGCTGCCCCTTTCCTGCTGAAGCAGTGGTGCCAGTGAAATTTATTATTATTGCCACAGCGACACAGAAAATGGTGAGACAAATTTCATTATTTATTTACACAATATTAGTAAATTCAATTCATTTCCCCCCGTCGCCGACCCTTTCGTCTCTTTTTTGCCAGAGATAACTGAGCTCCACTGTGAAGAAACGCTACGCTGATAGAAATTACAACGACAACGACCATAGCCGCGGCTTATCGAGTATCAGACGTGTCAGTCAGTACCGAGCACATTCAAGGTTCGCGGTTCTCTGCGGTTCGTTTGCAAACACATGCGCGCAGATACCGCCCCAAGAGACAGACAGGAGAGACGCATCGAAATGATATTGGCCGACGCTGGGCACAGAAATACGTGTGTGTGATATTGTGTTGCCGAAACCAAAGATAAGCTCTTATCTGCTATCTTTGCAATTTATACTTGAGCAAGCACTGAATGAACACGCATTGGAAAGGCGCTGCGTATATCTGTACCAAACACAAAAGTTAGTGAGTACCCCCACAGGTTATTTGGCATTTTATAGGTAGTCAAAAAAAGTACTGATTGTTGATTATTCGCAATAGATGTAAAACGTGTGCGTTTGTTGGTTCGCAAAAGACGTTAGTATAAGAAGAGACAAGAGCTATGGCATATGGGGCATGCAATGATATGACGCTACGCCATGACTTTTGTAAGTGTCAAGCGCTCACGAACCGTCGAGACGCGAAATAAATTGCCGAAAGTGATTATTAAAGGTAGTCACTTCTTAGTACGCATATCCTGCTTTTTTTTTTGCCTTTTTTTTTTTACACTAATATATAAGTAACATAACGTTCACTTCCAAGAAGATTTGATGTCGGTCCGGTCACACTGTGTTCGAGCCTCTTAGTGTTCCGCAGTCCGTGGAGCATTTGAGAGAACGCCATGCGAGTGGTTTAATGTTTGCGTAATCGTCGAAATTCGCTACTTATCTCAAGGGCCCTTGGACTAGCTTTCAGGGGCCACGGATGACTGCTGCGATCTCTCAATGCGATCCCATGCTTCTGATTCTCCTCGAATAGAAGCTAGCTAGATAGCGTTTTCTCAGCTAATAACCCGCAATCCGCCCGATTTTAAGGCCGTCAGAGTCGCAGCTAAAAAGCGTGGTTTTAGTTCATATGTGTACGTGTGAAGATACGTATACGTAGATAAAGACAACTTTAGGCAGCGACTAGCAGATTAGCGACTATGATAGAGCTAGCTAGTGAAAATAGAAATAAGAAAACATTTGTCAGCTCCAGCGATTATGAGAAGTCGATCAGTTTGTACATGTCTGTAGCTATTACGCGGATGAGTCTCTAGCGAGCTGAGCAACTTCCTTTCTCACCATAGCAAAAACATAACGATACGACGTCTAGGCACGATACGTTTGGCAATAGGTAATTCTGCGGTTTCTCTTACACACCAAGAGGACTCGTGTGTGCTACAGTGAGCATCTTTATCTCCTGTGACACGATCAGTTAATAACATATCATGAATACCCTGTATATATATCAATACAGGTAAGCAGTACATACCGTCATAATGTATGGTTGTAACTAATAAAACTTCGGTTTTTTGCTCGTTGTCGTGTTCCAGGTTATTCGGTGCGAAGTGCTCAAAGTGCGGTCAAGGCTTCAGTCGTAGCGACTTCGTTATGCGCGCGCGGGGCAAGATCTTCCATATCGACTGCTTCCGCTGCATCGCTTGTTCGCGACAGCTTATTCCTGGTGAGTGAGTCTAGAATAGTGAAATTTACTTTGCCCCTAAAACATATAAACTGCACAAAAATTTCACTCATCTCCCGCTGGATTGTCTAGCGCTCGGTTGCATTTAGAATTAATTATCGTTATAGCAAAAACGCTATCGCGTATCAAGATTTGATCGATAAGTATTACGATATATCGGAAACGCACTTCATTATCCATGGTACATATATTTAAGCAAACTGAAAATAGCGTTAGATAGACAGATAGATGAATTTGAAATTCAGTGATGCTGATGACCATTCTGCTGTTGCTCAACTGCCTATCTGCTTTGCTTTTCTTTCCTTTATTCTGTTGTTGTCCAGGTGATGAGTTCGCGATTCGGGAGGATGAGCTGTTCTGCAAGGCGGACCACGACGTCCTCGGGGTGGGCGGTTTGGTCGGGGTTGGAGTGGGCGTGGGAATCGGCCTGGGAGCGGGTCTCGGCGGCGGCGGACCTGGTGGTCTAGTGGGGGTGGTAGGGGTTGTAGGGGGGGCAACGACTGGTGGTGCCGAAATGAAGCAGGAAACGCCAGACCAGTCGCCCCTGCCATTGTCGCCGGCGAAAGGCGCGTCCCAAAGCGCAGGAGGTGCCCAAACGCCCAATGGGACCGCCAACCCAAATGGGGGCGGTAGCGGTGGACCTAATGGTAGCAGCACTCCAGTAAACAGCCAGCTAAGCAGCTTGAGCAACGACCTGGCCAGCCAATACTACTCGGATGACTCCACGCACGGCTCCTCGGTAGTCTACTCTTCAGTAAAGAGCGAACTGAGTAAGTAATAATAAGTACACATAAGTGGTCCGAACTACGGATATGATTATGTATGTACATGTTCTTATAGGTAATAAGTGGTTAATCGAGTTCAGGAAACAATGATATTAGCAATATACACCATTGAGCGTATGCTCGCTTTTGACGTTCATTTTATAAAGCAGTATTAGACAATGAAATTATAGTTGCATTATATTAGGGGAAATAATATGGTTCATTTGCCCTGGAAGTTGAAAGGGACAACGCTTAGTTGTGAAATTTTTCGTCTGTGTACCTTAGTGAGATTTTTCCTCCTTCGTCTTATCTTAGGCATTCCGAAACATTCTAGCTAGTTCACATATATATATATATATATATATATATATGTGAACTACATATATAATAATAAATATATATAATTTACATTGGGTAGAATGGTGTGTGGTTCAGTAGGATCTGGTCTGATTTTGGTCCACATGGGGGCAGCTACGATGTAGACAGGCAGACTAGAAGCCTGTGCCTGTGTACACATATAGGAAACATTACCGTGGTGGGGTACACAGTACTTCCCTTCCCGAACCCGAAAGCTTTCGTTGGTTTACGGGTTCTTTTTCCTTTGACGGCCGTGGTGGCTTACGGGGGTGTACTACTGTAGAGGAACTGCTCGTCGATGTTCTAATATACTTAGCTTTATGGCCACTGGCATGGAAAGACAGGCAAAGAGCCATCGAGGGGTGATGAGCACAGTGCGCTTGAGAAGAGGGGCGAGAGTACCTTTAACATTGCAGCCGGGGTTGGCTGTATAGCGGCACGGTGCGGTAGCAGGATTGCGTTTGTCCGTAGTAGCTATGGTATCTAGCCAATGAATTCTGTGGGCAAGTTATGCTGCTCCGATTTATACGTCAGGCTTACCTTAGGTTTTGCGGCAAACGACTCAGCTCGAAGATTCGCCCGTCGGCCTGGGAGAGGGCGAGAGTTTTCGGGATACAAGTAGCTAGTACCGGCTATAATAGCGGTTGGAACGAGCCGAAGCCAAGTACCAAAGCATGCTGAAGGGGCAAGCGGTCTTTCGCTTAGCAGTTTGTGCCCTAAGAAGCCGTGACTGTGTGGCGTGTGAGCGCGCGTGTCTGCTGACAATATGAGGTCTATGGAAAGTCGGCTGTTCGTCGACTGCACGACCGATACCAACGAGTGTGAAACTGGCTGGGAGCGGACAGGTGTAAGCCTATAGGAGGTGGAAGGCCAGATGGAGCAGGTTTCAGGAATGAACAGTATGAACAGGCGGATGTAGGAGGCAGGGCGTCCTAGCTAGGCCTAGCTAATGTGCGGGAATGGCGCTACGAAATCCACTCAGGGAAAGAGTCTGCTGTGTCTAACCGAGCAGACATCGCAAGGAGGGTGTGGTGGGCGGGGGGTAGTAGTTGGTGAGGGACACTTTTGCACATATATACGATAGATTACTGTACAGCAGGAAGAGGGCTGGGAACTGCGGGAAGGATACAGGCGGTGCGTGGGGCACCGAAGGACACTGTGGAATAATTGAGGCAGAACGACGAGCGGGAAAGCGACAACAGGCGGCCGCGGAGTGGGCGCATGGGCCGATTGGCAACTGCCGCCGCAGCTAATAGAGAGGAATGGAAAGGGAGGATAACTTGACAGATTTTCGGATTAAGGGAGAGGTGTTAAGAAGTGCAGAGGTGAGTAAGAAAGGTTATCGCAAAGGTAGAACTAGAGACGAGTCGGGTGATCGGCGGCGACGAATTACCCTCACGTGACTTAGTCCGTAGATTTGGACTCTGCTAAGCGAGTACCCATGGATATTAGCAATCTAAGCCGATTGGAGTAGAATCTTTAAAAAGCAAATCCACAGACGGAAGAGAGGTAACGACAAAATAACTAAGAAATTCTTTTCATTATTTACTGTTTGATACGGAAAGATAGCAATGGCCATTTGTATATATAAGCATCAACAGCTGTATACAACGGAAGTACATTTTGTCTCGATATAGAACTGAAAAGACATGAGTATATCTGTGTAAGTGAGATCTATGTAAGCACTTCTGCTACGCATTGTTTTTTTCCTGACCGATAAAAACAATCACTCATCGATATACAATGGACATTATACTTGGCACACAGCAGAAAATATTGGGCTATATTATTTGGCCACTTTTGTTAGCGTAGTTCGACAAAGATGAAGCTGAATGTTCTCCTTGGTCTACGTCCGTTGCAGAGGCTGGACAATTTTCACTAGGATTACGATTCTACGGTTTTTACCGTAGCGCGATGTAAACAATACGGTGTGATCCGTCCTTGGATGTGATGGCGTTACTGCATTTCAGGGTTAGGAGTCTTTACTTCTCGACTTACAATTGGGTACACAAATCATGCAAACCAATACGAGATTCGCGACATAACCTGTAATAAATGGCAGCCCATAAATATCTGATTTTTTTAGATGTCCATCTGCGCGTCGACATAATGACGACATGGCAAAACTACAGAAGATATATCGGAGATGGACCAAGCTTATTATTATTTCATTAGCAGGTCCCGTGTGATCTATGCCTTAAGCTACGAACAGCATTTCGTAACCACCTTACACGCTAAGGCTAAAAATTTCAGAAAGTGGGTGTACGGATAATGGCCTTACAATCAACGTATAACAGTTAAACTAGTATAATATTAATAAAGATTAGAGTGACGAAACAGACGGAATCTGTGGTTCGTTTTTATTTATCCCTTTGACTGCTCATGGAATTGCTTTAGTACATGCATCCATCTATTTTTGGAGTTCGTAAACAACAGATACTCTATTCAGGACTTTACCTACAAACCTTCCAATGGTCTACCAGAACTACGTAGAAAGGCACACCTATACAAATCTAGTTATTGTTACTATAGTGTACGGTGATATTTTGTTTAGCTGCATTCTATACCGAAATATAATAATTAAGTCGAGTTAACGACCGTTTCGTCGAGGCTTCTATGTGCTCTAAATGTTTCAGCTTGGAGAGCCTAGCTCTTGTTATCCATTATGGCTAGGACAAATTAAATATCATCAAGTCATCAGATGTGGTCCGTGTTTCTTCCGCGTTTTCGCGGGCCTGTTATAGGTTTAATTTCAACGCTTACTTTAGACGTACCGTAATGCTCGCGAAAACGGAGAGAAAACATAACTTAGCGGTCTGCTCAATAGCAGCATAGATGGATCCACAGCAGCTCCACTTCGATTAACTCGAGCATCTTTGTACAAGCTCAGCGTCGTTTTCACTGTGATTACTCTAGATGGGCCGTCTTCTTTCGTCCTGATTGTCTGCTTATATGGCCAGTGTACACTACACTGATGTGATGACGATGATCACGCTGATGGGAATGCGTTGGGACGCTTCTGCATTAAAGGAGGAGCGCGGCCACTGGGCGGGCTGTAACTAGATCCTAAATCAATTGTGTGTCAGTATCTGCTCCCTTTGGTTGTGGAAAGCACCCGAAAGCATACAGACTGGGTTTCACAAGCTAGCAGACAGAGTCAGACTCGCCCAGAGATGGGCACTACTTTACTTTCCACCCACTCAGTGCTATCTCTTAGAATTCATCGTTCAGGGCCGCCGTTGTGTTGGACGGACAACCGCAGCATCGGCTCTTGTGACTCGACTCTATGTCATAGTATAATATAACGAAGTCCACAGGACAACAGCTACTGCAAACGAAGCCAGAGCCATGCCGTTCATTGTGCTCAATCCTGTTCTTCCTCATAAAATGTGGACTTTGCTCAGCCGAGGTGGTAAGCCAGAGTAGACATTCATTCATCCTTATGGCGAAAAGGAAGCAATCTTTTTCCGTCACTTGCTTTCTCTCTCTCTCTTGTCCCTCTCGCTGTTACTCCCCCTGTTTCTCATCGCCGGCAGCGAGCGACGTGCTCATCATTTGGGGCTCTCATCTAGTTAATACGTGATCATATTTACCTGCCTCAAACATTCCCTCATAGAAAACTTGTTCAACATCCCCCAGAAACGCTTCCCAACGAAAGCCAGGGCCCTTCAAGTTTGTCCGATGGTCAGTTGTTAGAATGAGGCTTCTATTCTATGTCATCCTCATGCCGCTGTAAGTGGAAAGGCAGAGCCACACCGACAGAACATCGTATGACGAGAAACTGCATCATCGTCCCCATCAGCATCATGAGCATGCAGGGTAACGCTAAGTTGATAGTCTCATTCCCAATTGGCGTTCACCTCTACCCTCTCACTCCTTCCATAGAACAAGGACTACCACAGGACCGGGGGCTGTCGTCCTATGACATTAGCAGCTAACTACGATTTATCTATCACACAATGGCGATAATGCGAACGCTCCCGGTCGAGCCAGGCCCTCAACCGGCTGTCCTCAGCCGGCAAACACTGCATGAAGATGAGCGTATCTAGTTCAGGCACCGCAGGCAGGTCTCATATCTGTGTTCTGGATATTCGTAGGGCCAAGCGGTGTTGCTACGAATGGCCAAACGGCTGCTGCTGTTGTTCGAGCTACAGCAGCGGGCGCTGTTGTTGTCCATCGAAGCTCCTGCTTAGTCATCAGGACATCGGGAGCTGGATGAGCAACTTCGAGCGAGTGGCGTCTGTTTGGGCGTGGTGCCATCGTCACCCCTGACGCTCCGTCGGATGAGCGCCCTTCTGTGGCGTGGAGACGACAGAGAAACCGATGTCGGTGTCGGCAGTGTCCGAGCCTACTAGCCTGGTCCTTTGGGGAGCGGGGGGGGGTCAATCCTTGTTCCTTTTATGTTGGCCTGATTCGTATATCCACAAAGCTCAGCACTCTGCTACTAGTGCCCGGGCTGTTGTTTCTATCATAACTGGTAGTATGCCCTGCAGCTGACTACCAACTACTAAACTGATATTCTTCGTTGTTTCCGCGTCAATGCCATCCCATGACCCCCATGTACATGCTTATTACGTGTTGATTAGATCTTTAAACAACAACGATTGAGTTACGGTCAACGATACGACGGCAGCGCTCACTAAATACTA